GTGGCCTCTCCCGTTGCGGAGCACAGGCTCGGGACGCGCAGGCTCAGCGGCCATGGCTCACGGGCCCAGCCGCTCCGCGGCATGTGGGATCCTCCCAGACCGGGGCACGAAGCCGTGTCCCCTGCATCTGCAGGCGGTCTCTCAACCACTGCACCACCAGGGAAGCCCCCCAGTAGTTTTACATGTAATAATTCATTTAGTCCTCATGATAATTCTATAAGGAAGGCAATATTAGTACTCCCATTTAATGATGAGACTGAAGCAGAGAAGTAATTTGCCTAAGGTCACAAAGTCAATAAGTTAACGAACTGGCACATTTTTCCATGTTGCTAAATTCATTTTCCACACATTTTCTTTTTTTTTAAATGGCTGCACGATATCCATGCAGCCATTTTGTGGATGAAGTATCATTTAATTATTCCGCTTCCTTTTATGAGACATCTAGATTATTTCCATTTTGTGATTTATACACATCACTAACATGGTGATGTAGTATAAGATGCCTTATACTATACCTTTGTGCACAATCCTTAATTATTTCCTTGGGCTAACTGCCCTCAAGAACAGTTGCAGTGATTTTTCTTTCCTCCAAAGGGGTGTTCCTTTCTCTATGTTCTCCATGACCTTAAATGTAAATTTTATCACTTTTGCCTACAGCAACATTTTCTAATTCATTTTACCAGTTCTGAGAAATAAATCCAAGCACTAAAGGACGAGTGATTTCTCTAGAGTAAAAGAGTCAGGGTCTAAAATCTACCCCCTTTCCATGCTCTCCTGCTTTTTACAGATGCTGAACCTCATGGCTTATACACTAACTCATCGCAGAGGAATGAGGAGTGTTAACCTGGGACAAACCAGCTAATGCAGGCAAGATTCTTATGGTCTACAAGTCAGCATTCACTAATTCACTCACTCATTCATTCAATAAATATTTGAAAGGTTAGTATGTGAGTAGTACTAAGCAGGGGTTACGGGGTTCACAGAAAAAAATATTTAGAACAAGGCTAAATAAAACATTTAGCACATAACCTGGCACACAATAATTGCTCAATAAATCAGTATTTATGTCAGGCACTCTGGTAAATGCCAAGTAAGTGTATTATCCCCTTTAATCTCTACAACAACATCCAGGAACTGTTGTGGGTTTTTTTTTAATCATCCCCATTTTTCAGATAAGAAGACTGAGGCCTAGAGAGATTTACCCAGCTTGAGCAACATACTTGTGGTGTTCAGATTTGAACTGAAGACTCCAGAGTCTGTGCTCTTAGCCATTATACTATATTACAAAACACAATTTCTCCCCTTAAGAAGCATATAGCCTTATTAATAATACTAAAATTGAAAACAGCTATCAAGTGTTAAGCACTTATGTGCCAAGCACTGTGCTAGGCCTTTATGCATATTGATCATTTAATTCATATGACAACTCTATGAAATACTCTTGTAATTATGCTTGTTTTATAGATGAGAAAATAGATATTCTGAGAGTTTAAAAAACTTGCCCAATATACAAATAGCTCTCAAATAGTAGCACTAGAAGCCAAGATATACAAAGAATTACTGTATAGGGAACATGATGAAATGTAAAACAAGTGATGCTACTTAGCTACCATCAAATTTCAGGAGTCACAGGAAAGAGACTTTGTGACCTTCTTGTGTTCCAGGAATGATCACAGAAGGATAGAAAGGGAAAATCCTGGCGGTTTGTCAGGCCCTGTGTTGAAAGCCTTCACAAAGGTCTGTTCATTGTATCCTCTTTGTGAATGTATTATTATTATTCTAAATTTGACAGACGAGGAAATGGATTCTCTGGAAGGTGCTGCATATGTCCAAGGTCACATAGCTAGTAAATGGCATAGCTAGAACTGGAACCTATTTGTCTCTCAAATCTGAGCCCTTAAGCACTGTGTTACATGCTTTCCATTATTTGATCTTGCTTTTTGGTTGTGTAGGTGTCACATAGCCAGAGATGAGTGGAAAAGGCAAAAGTGAAAGGGTATTAAGGAAGATAATACATAAGCAAGAGTATTGAGTTACATCCAAGAAAAAGGAAGCAGACCTTCTTGTTCAGTGCTAAAGATTCATTTGTTTTGGGAAGGAGCCCTTTGTTTGCATACCTTTGGTGACTACACCAACTGCATAAATGTCTGTTTCTGCCATTATAATGGGAGCTATTAAAGACAGGGACTGTATCTTAGCCTGTGCTGTAACCCAGTGTCTAGCATAATGCTTAGCTTGTAGTTCCAGCAGAGAGGTTGGAAAAATAGGGAGTAGTCACATTGCATAGATCTCTGGATGGCAATTAAGGTAGTCCACGGAGCAAATACCCTAAACAAAATAATAGGTGCTCAAATCCAACAGGGCATTTAAAGGATAAAATCATGATGCATAGGAGTTATCCCAGGAGTACTAGGGTGGCCCAACAGCAGAAAATCTCTCAATATAACTCACCACATTGATGGACCAAAGGGTAAAAATTATGATTTTTTTTCATACTTAGAGAAACTTGATGCAGTAGCATTAAGGTCAGGACTAAGTCGTGGGTGCCCATTATTAGTGTTAGCTAGAGTCTCGGAGAGTCTGGCCAATTCTTTTAGATGAGAAAAAGTGAAAGATGTATGTACTCTTTTGCTTGCCATTCTTGCCAATGATATGATAGTCTATATGGAAAACACAATATAATCAACAGGCAAACTATCAGAACTATAAGAGAGTTATTGTCAAGTTTGCAAGAATAGAAATCATCTTACAAAATTCAATAGTGTTCTTCTCTATTAGGAATAACCACCTTAAAAATGTAATAAAAAATATAACACAATCTACAGTAGCAACTAAAGTCTATAGCAAATATCTGCAAACTCTTTCTGTAAAGAGCAAACAGTAAATAGTTTCTGTTTGGCAGGTCATGTGGTCTCTGTCGCAGCCATTCAACTCTGTCACTGTTGAACAAAAGCAGCCATAGACAGTGTTAAATGAATGAATGTGGATGTTCCAATAAAATTTTATTTACAAAACCAGAGCACAGGCTGACATGCCCAGGTGTAGTTTGCCAACTCCTGGTCTATAGTAATTGGCCTAAAAACTGTGGACTGAAGAAAAACGCACGACCTAAAAGTTGCAAGTTAAGTTTTATTCGGGACCTGAGGACTAGAGCCTGGGAGACAGCCTCTCAGATAGCTCTGAGGAACTACTCCAAAGAGGTAAGGGAGGAGCCAGGATATATAGGAGAGTTTTTGCTGAAAAACCATGTAGACGAACATCAAAAGATTACTGTTAATCACAGAAGACAAACATCTCAAGTTAGTGATTTTAGAGCTTTTCTACATATGGGAAGGTGCAAGATTCTGGGCTCACTGAAATTTTTCCTTAGATGTGCAGCTTAACTCTCTAGGGCCAGTATCCAGAGCACAGAATATTTCCTATTTTCCTCTATCCTGAATTCTCCTCAGGGTGCACTGTTGTGGGTGTGGGGAGGTGGCTGTAGTGCCTGATGCCTTGATGGCAGGCAACATTTATTGTTTACTGGAATGGCAGGCAAACTTCCCTTACCACAAAGCAATGCCTAAGAAGTTTATCAAGGAAAAAAAACTAAACTCCATTCAGGGACATTAGAAGGCCTGAATAAATGTCATAATTCAAATAACTTCAGGAGTGTAAAGATTTTATTCATTTGTTTAACAAATATTCAGAGTGGCCACCATACGCCAGGCATTGTTCTGGGTACTAGGGGTGCAGCAGAGAACAAAACAGGGCACCTATCCTCACGAATCTTACGTCTTTAGCAGAGAAGCAGTGATTAAATAATCTAAAGTTGGATAGTAATAAATGCTATGAAAAAGATTAAATAAGAGAAAGAAAGAGTGATGAGGAGTGAGGGTGCTACTTAATTTAGGATGGTCAGGGAAGGCCTTCCTGATGTTTCAGCAAAGACCTGAAAGAGGTGAAGGAAGCCTGCCCCATTGAATTCTGGTGAGGGAGTGTTCCATGCAAAGATGTCAGTTCTCCCCCAAATTAATCTATATGTGTTCAATGAAATTCCAATAAAAATTCCAGTAGTAATGTTGAGAAACTAAAACCCACTCTAAAATGAATATGAAAGAATAAAGGTCTATGAAAGCTAAGTCTATTTTCAGAGGGAAATAAAAGTAGGGAGACCTGCCCTACTGGTAGAACTGGCTCTACCACGAAGCCACAGTAATAAAAATATTGTGTTGCTGGCACTGAAACAAAGAAAAGGATCAATGGAATAGAATGGAGAGCTTATAAATAAAGTATATACATGGGAACTTAGTATGTGATAAAGGTGGCATCACAAAACACTGGAAAGATTGTTTTTCTGACAGTTATATAAAAACAAATTCACTGTATAGAGAAAAAAGCTGAATTTTTACTTGAAACTATGTTAAAAGTGGACTCCAGATGGATTAAAGACATAAATGTGAAAGTTAAAACTATAAAGCTAATATTAGAAAATACAGGAAAATCTGTTACCCAGGTGTAAATAAAGACTTCCTAAACAAGACTCCAAATTCTAAGGTCAAAATTTAGGACATCTGCTTAATTAATGACATCACAAAGTTAACACGAAGGTTGCAGACTGGGAGAAGGTATTTGCAATGTTTAAAACAAACACGGAATAATGTCTAGAATATACACACAATTCCTACAAACTAAGAAGAGAGGAAATCAAATTTTAAAAAAGTAGGCAAAGGATATAAATAGGCACTGGGAGAAAGTATTTGCAGTGTTTAAAACAAATAAAAGAAGGTCTAGAATATACAAAGAATTCCTACAAATCAACAAGACAGGAAATCAAATAGGAAAATAAGCAAAGGATATATAAATACCTTAGTTTCACATACTAAGCATACAAAAAAAGAAAAAAAAGGCTCAAATTTAATTATAATCAGAGAAATGCAAATCAAGACAGCCAAGAGCTGCCACTTTACTTCCACCAGACTGGCAAAAATTAATAGCACTTATGTTTGTTTTTGTTAATCTGTAGACAAAGACTTATAGATGGGTGCAAAAATAAATCCTCTTTTGCAACCTAGAACTCATTGTTCAGTATGAGTTTTGATACAGATAAGAAGGAACATGGTACCTGAAACAGATTCAAGTGGTGGGGGTATTGATAAACACAAAGGTTGCTTCCAGGACTATAGAATTGATAATTTAAAAGCTTAAGATATGTGGGAAATTATCAGCTATGCTGATTTAGTACTCTCATGTTGACATGAAACAAAGATGACTTCCTTTTTTAGGTTTTTATCTTGAGAACACAGTGTCTGGACTTTAAAAAGGTATTGGCATATCCCAACGATCTGTACTGTTCTAAGCTATGATAGCTTAGGAGTGAATATGATTTGAACTTAATGCATGTTTAGAGGGTGTCTAAAATTCAGAAGCAGGCAGATCCATTTCCTCTGACCCTAAACATGGTCCAAAAGTAAATTGCTTGAGGAAATTGGATCCCAAAGATCACAGGTGGGGAATTTTGAAGTATGTCCATATTCCATTGGAGATCAAAGAAGCCCAACTAAAAGAATGGGAGACTGACTGACTGACATGACAACTGTGGACTGAGGAAAAATTCTTTTTGAAAGGGCTATCTTGAAGAGTATGACTCAGACACTGGAGGAACTAAGGTGATCGGCAGTGGAAGGAATCAGAACGTGTGAAATTCCTTAAAAATTTATTGACTTAAATAATTTGCCATATATAAAAACATAAAAAAAGAAAAAGAAAACTGGAAAAAATGAGAAAGATGCTAACACCGAAGATTGGTGGTTATGAGTTCTTGTGTACTGGTGATAGGAATTAGCACAGCCATTCTGAAAAGTAACCTGGCCATTTTTGGCAAATTGAGCACGCCCAATTGCATAGTTCAGAGGAATATTCACGTCAGTAAACAAACTTGCTTATTTTTGCTTTTTTTTTTTTTGCCACTGTGCAGCATGGCATGCGGGATCCTTAGTTCTCTGACCAGGGATCGAACCCATGCCCCCTGCAGTGGAAGCGTGGAGTCTTAACCACTGGACTGCCAGGGAAGTCCCTATTTTTGCATTTTTAATAGTAATCGAGAGTTGAAGGCAATCTAGAGTTCTATCATCAAAAGAGTGAATGAGTAAAACATGGTGGATGAACAGTGGTTATATACCTGGAGCTAGGCCGCTGGAGTTGAAATTCAGGCTCCACCACTTACAATAGAAGTAAAAATTTGAGTAATCTGCGCCTCATTCCTCTTTTTTTTTTTTTTGAGATACACGGGCCTCTCACTGTTGTGGCCTCTCCCGTTGCGGAGCACAGGCTCCGGACAAGCAGGCTCAGCGGCCATGGCTCACGGGCACAGCTGCTCCGCGGCATGTGGGATCTTCCCGGACCGGGGCACGAACCCGTGGCCCCTGCATCGGCAGGCGGACTCTCAACCACTGCGCCACCAGGGAAGCCCATGTGCTACTTTTATGAAAGGTAAACTATCACCTCTATCAAAATTAAAACAAAAAACTGTCATATTTTTGCTCCAGTTGATGAGTCTATCCCAAAGTAGCAGGGTAATGGGGTAAAGAATCAGAATGATAGACATTTCTCTTTATAGCCTTTATTACTGCACAATACAAACTCAGTCTCTGTTTTACAAACCTTACACACAAATGGCAAAACAATTAAAAGATTTTTATTCCCCAAAGCTATTTTATTCCAGTTTCCCCTCTTTATGCAGAGGGATTATCTAGATTCTCCATGTCATCCTTAGCCTTTAATTTAGAAAGGCTGTCACAAAAGTGAACTGGCCATATAAGGAAAACAGTGCAAAGAACCAACTAAGTTCTCATTGTCCTCCTTCCTGAGGGAAGAATGCCTGGCTAGCAGTGGTGAAATAGGGCAATTATAACATCTTCTTTTTTTGTAACAGCTGAGGACAAGCCCCAGTGGTGGACAGACTGCCTTGTCACATGAGCCTTTTGGGGTCTATTTTCTCTAGGTGAACCAGAGGTTTCAGCTGCTCTGCAAAGTTCCTCATGTCATCAGACACCACATCCTGCCCAGCTGGTGCAACAACACTTAGTTCCACAAGGTAGGAGAGTGACAAGGCCTCAGTGTTGTCTGTGTTCCCTGGTGTCAAGATGCGGAAGATCTTGTACACCACGATCTTCATGATGCCCTTACGGAACAGGTGTCCCCTGGCAACAAACTCATGGTCCATGCGGAAACCCATTTCCATCAGGAAGTCAGTAAGGTTCTCAGATGTTGCAATGTCCACGCAGTTACGCACCAGGGCATGACGGTTCTTGTCTCCCATTTCTGGCTGTCCCAGGTAGCGCAGATGCCAGGGTGCCCCTGCCCTATCCATAGAGCGTCGAGCCCTTAGAACAAACGGACTGGCCTGCTGGCCCTTAAGGAGGAATACCATCTCATGGTCAAGGAAAGTCTCCGGTTCCATGTTGTCACACAAACCACGAAGGCGGTGGATGAGGCTTTCCAAGCTGTGATCTAAAACACTTCCTGAAGAAGGAAAAAAGTACCATTGAGTCCCATCTTTCATTCTGGGTAATGGAAATAGCAAAAGATTGAAAAAACTTACATGAAAAATCAGAACAGTTTAGTGCAGTGTTTTGTAAAGCACAGGCCCAATATGAGATGTTAGAGGGGTTATACTGCCAAGATATTATATAACAAGTTAATCCCTTTTCAATTTTTTGCATTGTCTTATTTGGTACTAGAATAGTTAGGCCTTCTCTAACAATGCTAACCTCCAGTGGGCTTTGGGCCTTAACAGGCAACAGTATCTACCTAGAAAAATAATACTGTTTTGTCATTTATTTTAAAAATTATCTTCTAGTCTCAGAAAACAAAAGTTTTCCATTGATAGAAAAAATATAACATTTCCTTTTTATGTAATATATTTAAGTAAAAGAGAATGAACTGCTTCAGAGAAATACACTGTCCTCTGTTCTCATCTTATTCTTCCTCCTGGCAGCATTTCACATGGTTGTTATATTATACCTATTTTGAAATCTATTCTTCCCTTGGCCTCTGGGACACAAATCTCTCTTGGTTCTTCACCTAATTCACTGACCATTCCTTTTAAGTCATCTCTGCTGGGTCTTCATCTTCCCAAAATATTGGAGGATCCTAGGACTCAATCCTGGTCTTTGTCTCTATCAAAAATCTCTTCCTCCCTCAGTGACCTAATTCAGCCCTATGGGTTTTTTTTGTTTGTTTTTTTGGGGTTTTTTTGCGATACGCGGGCCTCTCACTGTTGTGGCCTCTCCCGTCGCGGAGCACAGGCTCCGGACGCGTAGGCTCAGCGGCCATGGCTCACGGGCACAGCTGCTCCGCGGCATGTGGGATCTTCTCGGACCGGGGCACGAACCCGTGTCCCCTGCATCGGCAGGCGGACTCTCAACCACTGCGCCACCAGGGAAGCCCAGCCCTATGGTTTTAAGTATCATTTATGCTCTGAGGACTACCATATTTATATCTCATGAACTACAGACTCATACATCCAACTGTCTGCCTAACTTCTCCACTTGGATGCCTAAGACATCTTCATCTTAACATGTTCAATATCAACCTGTTGATTTTTCCTCCACAATCTTACTCCTCCTGCAGTTTTCCCCATCATAGTAAATGGCAACTCTCTGCTTCCAGATGCCCAACCAAAAACCACATAATCAGCTTTGACTCCTTTCTTTCTCTCACATCCTACATCCGCTCTGCATTTTTTAAATATATGCAGAATCCAGTTTACCCAATCATTTCCACCTAGTCCAAGTCTCCATCGTTTCTTGCTTGGTCTTTGCAGGACCCTGCTTCTATCCTTGCTTTTTTCTTCTCTCCTCCATACAACAGCCAGCTGGTTTTTAGGACATAAGGCAGATAATGACACTTCTCTGCTCAGAACCCTCCAATGGCTTCCCGTGTCACTCAGAATAAATCCCAAATTCTTTACCACAGTCTACAAGGCCCTATAAATTGTGATCTCTGCTACCTGATGTTGATTATTTCCTTCTACTATCTCCCAGATCACTCTCTCCAACCACAGTGATTTTCCTGCTGTTTCCTAAAAATGCCAAGTGTCTGACAATGTATTTCTCTTCAGAGACCCTTCCCTTAGTCCCTACGCTTAGAATGTTCTTCTCTCAGACACCTGCATATCTCACCCCATCACTTTGTTCAGATCTTTGCTCAAATGTCACTTTATCAGAGATCACTTTTCTCATTGCCCTAAATAAAATAGCATTATCTCCTTCCAATCTCTTTCCACTTCCCTGTTTACTTTTTAGCATTAGCACCTCAATTTTTTAGTCATATTTCAATATATCAATTATGTATTGACTTTTTAACATATTTCTTCCTCTACTGCTGATACTTACTCCAATGCTAGGAACATATTCATTTATTGACTAAATCTGTTAAAGTAAATAAAAATATACTACTGTAACTATGGTAAATATTGACAGTGGGACTCAAATGACTACATTTTTGGAAATGGGTAGTGTTGGAGGGAAAGCAACAGATCAGGTCCCTGTGATCATAGGACAGATGACGACGGGAGCAAGGAATGGGTCCTACATTGGATACGTTGTGTCCTACATTCAGGACAGTGTCAGACATGTGCTTTTTCATACTTAAAACATTTAAGGAGCTTTGTAAGTGCTGGTTCCTTCAACATATACTTACTGAATACTGTGCCAGGCATCATGCTAGGAAGTAGGGGGTCCAGCCCTCACAGAGATTACAGTTTAGTGGGGGAAACAAAAAATGAATACGTAAACAATTAAACAGAAATACAGGGAAATAAAAGGGAGATGGGAGAGAGGAACTGATGGGGGTGGAGAAGAGGAGACCTCTCTGAGGGCTTGGAGTAGTCAGAGAAGGTCTGTCAAAGGGAAGGACAACTGAGCTGAGGACTAAGGGATAAAAATAAAATGGCTATTTGAAGGGCTGGAACAAAGTATAAGGGCAGAGGAAACAATGCAAAGGCCCAGGAAAGGGCCTGGGGAATTCAAAGAAATGAAGGGATATCAGTGTGGCTGAAGTGTGGTAAGCAAGATGGAAGATGATAATGAACTGAGGATTTGGGATGGGCCAAAGCACACAGGTCTTATGAACAGCTCATGCTAAAGGCTGCATTCTACTCTAAGGCCATTGGGAAGCTATTAGCTCCACATTTTATTCTCCACACAACAGGGAAAGAGATGACTGGATTTACATTTTAAAAAGATCATTCCAGGAAAACTGGTATAGACTCTTCAACAAGACGTGGTCATGGGAAAAAAAGTGGGAGTGAGGGGAGACTGGTCCAAGTTAAAAGAGGCTTAAGAGACACAGTTATCAAATGTAATGCATGAAACATGATTATATCCTGGATACAAAACACATTTTGAGAGCAAGATAGGGGGAAACTTTTGAATATGGACTAGATATTAGATGATATTAAAAATACATTATTAATTTTTTAGATAATAATGATGGTATTGGGGTTATGAAGGAAAATATCCTTGTTTCTTATTTTTTAGAGATGCATACTGAAAATGTTTTGGGGTAAAATGTTATATCTGAAACTGTCGTTTTTTAAAAAAAATTTTTTGGCTGCAAGGCATGTGGGAGCTTAGTTCCCCAACCAGGGGTCAAACCCGCACCCCCTGAAGTGGAAGCGCAGAATCTTAACCACCGGACCGCCAGGGAAGTCCCTGAAACTGTCTTTAAAAACAGCAAAAGAAAAAAGAGAAAGCAAATATGGCAAAATGACAGAAACTGAAATCTGGATGACAGAAATGGCGTGTTCGTTATATTAGTCTCCACTTTCTTTATGTGTTTTTTTTTTTTTTTTTTTTTTTTTTTT